CGGGGGCATCCAAAAACGGATGCCCCTGCTAGCTCGTCGAAGCTTCCTCTTCCAACCGATAACTAACAGCTCGCATTAAGCAAAACCGCGGAGGGCCAACACCACGCGTTAAGCGAAAGCGCGGGGTATGCAAACAGCGCGTGCAGGGGCATCCAAATTGATGACATCAGAAAATGTCAGGGGCCCGCAAGAAGCGTGTGCCCATGAATCTTGAAATCGTCGCCCAATATTGATGTGCGCACCATCGTGCATGGAAGGACGTGACGGACTAATTTCGAAGTGCTAAATGTTCGCAACAATACAACGTTTACTTATTTATGCTCTGGCGTCCTTGCTAACAGACAAACAACGCTCGAAAAAATGCAGAACGCGCTGGCTTATTCACGGCGCGCGTACTCCATGAAAGAAATTCCTTGCGAAAGTAAAACAACAGCTTCCAGCTTTCACCCGCTGTGCTTCTAACGGCCGTAGCCCCGCGCCCACCATGCACAAACAATGCACATACTTTCTCCTTTTGGGCGACAGTAGTAACGAAAAAAACCCTCAAGGGGTGCGCCCGCCGGGAATCAAATTCCTAAAGAGAACAACGTTGATAGCGATGTTCTTCACTCGATACGGTTCTCACAGTAGGCATGCACAACCTAACTTTTCACACAAATGCACATACTTTCTCCTTCTGAAGCACGAATCAAAAAAAGAAACCCCCAATGGGTGCGTCCGCCGCGGCTCAAGCTATCTGAAAGAATGAACTCGATAGCAATGTTGATCTTCCGAAACGTATCTCATGACAAGCATCCCGCGCCAAGACAACAAAGTCTGAGCTGAAACCCTCTCTTGTGACGACGGTAAAACACGAGAAATCCATCGAGGGGTCACTTGGGTCGCAAGAGAAAGATTATTTCGCTGTGCTTTCCTTGTTTCCCTTGTTTTTCTTTATTTTCCTGGTTTTCCGCTGCTGGCTCCCGAAAAATGATTAGCTGTCTTACAAAGGAATTCCTTGTGTGGCGGCCTACGAATTTAGAAGACAATGCTGTAAACCAGTTCGGAGAAAAAGATGTTCGAAGAGAACTTCGGATCAAGAAAGGTATCAGCTAGATCTTAGTGGGGGGGGGGTACCAAAAAAATCAACGAAATCAACACCCTGAGCTGTTTTTAATTGAAAAACCAAAGAACGCATAAGGTTTTTCAATGTTTCCCGTCTGAAAGCTACTCGGGGCTTTGATTTCGTTGATTTGTTTTGGCTGGGGCTTTGATTTTCCTGGTTTTTCCTTAGGTTTTGTCTGATTTTACTGTTTTTGTTGGTTTTCCGCTTCCTGGCCCTCCCAGCGCCGCCTCCACCTCACCCCCGGAGAGGGCGCGGGCAGCAGAAACCAACAAAAACAATAAGATCAGTCAAAACCTCAGGAAAAATCAGGAAAATCAAAGCCGCAGGCATTCCCACAATAGGATTCCTTTTGCGGAAGGCATAATAACGAGAGAAGATCCAAAATCACGTCAAAGAAAAAGAAGTCAAATGATACAAACGATCCGCCCTACGGGACCCCCCCCCCCCGGCACTCGAGACCCTCTCCTGCCCGCGCCCAGAAGGGAGGGATTCCCCCTCTCTCCAACATTCGAGAGTTTATCCTGCAAGCGCCCAGACGAGGAGGATGCCCCCCCCCCTCCGGCATTCGACTGTTTCCCGCCCGCGCCCAGAAGGGGGGAAACCCCCCCCCCCCGCCGGCACTCGAAGCTCTCTCTCCCCTCCCGCGCTCAGAAGGGGGTGGCCCCCCCCCCCCCGGCACTCGAAGCTCTCTCTCGCCTCCCGCGCTCAGAAGGGGATGTCCCCCTCCTTCCCTGGCATTCGAAACTCTCTCTCCTCTTCCGCACTCAGAAGAAGAACTCTCCCCCCGCCCCCGGCACTCGAGACTCTCTCTCCCCCCGCGCCCCCCCCCGCCCCGCACTCCCTAACCCTACCCCGTAACCTAAGTTCATACCTAATCCCAAATCCGCACTCTTCTGACGCTGGCCTTAACCTTAAACCTACCCCTCAATCCGTAGACCGAACCCCTCACTCTCACCCATGCCCTATCCCCCCATCTCACACTGATCCTGTAACTCTCAATCTAGCCTTAGCATACCCGAACAGTACCCCGCAACTGCAACCCCCTACCCCCTCACGCTCACACGACCCCCTAAAATTAACACCTAACCGAACGCCCTGTACCCCAACTGCTAACACTACTCTCGAACCCGAATGCAGAAATGATGAGGACGTGGAGGATGAGAACCAGGACGAGGACGAGGATGCAGAAATGATGAAGACGATGAGGATGAGAACCAGGACGAGGGGTGCCAGAAAGACGACTACGAGGATACGGATAAGGAGGAGAACGACGATAAGGAGGATGAGGAAAACATGGCGAGGACGAGGATGATGATGATGACGAGGATGATGATGAGGAGAAGGAGGAGAGGGAGGAGGATGAATACGACACTGATGCTAAGGAGGAGGACTAGTGACAGGAGGAGGAGGAGAAGATCGAATATCGAGGTTCGCTCGAGGAGCGTAGATCGAGGTTTGATCGAAGATCGAGGAGGGAGAATGAATTGAAAATCCCTCGAGACTGAAAGTTCAGAGGGTGGCGGAGGAGAGAGGAAAAGAGGGCCCCGGGGCCTGCCAGCGCACTCCGGAGCGAGCCAGTGCTCGCTGTGTTGGGAAATCCTGGGCAGCCGTCCTCGCCACAGCTGGACTCGCCGAGGGCCGAGCCAGAGCACGATGCAACCCCGGGGACCACTCGCTCCGATCGCCAGTGGTGCCAGGGGCGTCCTCCTTCTCCTCTCCCTCCTCCTCCTCCTCCTCCTCCTCCTCCTCCTCCGCCTGCACGGTGGGAGGAAGGAAGAGTAAGAATTTCCACAACTGCAGCGCTGCAGAAACGAAGGGAAATCCGTAGCCATTTTGGCTCAAGCCATTTTGGCTCTAGCTGCTCGCGCGGGCGCGCCCCCGGGGCTCAAACCGGCTCGTCATGGGCGTCCGGAGTTGAAGTTTCTGGAGGTGGTCCGCCGGGGGATGGCTGCGGGAGGCGCTTCGGACGCGGGGCGCATCGTCCTGCGGGGTCACGCTGGTGCGCGGGCCTCCGCAGACAACCTCATCGTGAAGCTCAAGGCGAAGCTCTCGGCGGCCGAAGGCGAGCTGCAGCGGCTTCGGGCTCTGGTTGCGGCGCCTCCCGACGCGTCCGTCGCGGCGGAGGTGGCGCGGCGTGAGGCCGTCGCTCGGCCCGCCTTGCAGGCCCTCGTCGAAGGCTCGCAGGTGCCTGGTATACGCAGGCTGGAGCGCAACTGTGCCCTTCATGCCGCGTACTGCCCGCCTGCGGGGGCGCCAATCGCTGACTGGAGGCGTGCCCAGCATGGGGCCCGCTTGGGCAGGGCGGTCGGCCTAGGCGGTCATGGGCTAGGCTGCACTTGTGGCACAGTGGTGTTCTCCTCTTGCCACGTGGTTGTGAAAGAGTGGAGCCTGCGCGCTGATGCTTCTCCTTTCGTGCCTGGAGCTGGGGTCTGGCTCCCCTTGCCCTCTGATGCTGCAGGCGATTCGATGGCCGTGGCTGCCGATGTTGCTTCACGTGTTTCTTCGGCGGGAGCAGTCGACACCCTCGGTACCGATATGGTTGATGATCATCACGATGAGGCAGACGCCAGCACCGTCGAAGACGAGTTCTGCGCGCTCGTGGAAGAGCAGCTGGTGGCCTGGTCTGGCGCTGGCAGATCTTCCAAGCCCTTCGTGCAGCTCCGCAAGCGGCTCGACGGTGTTCATGGCGTTTCACGCGAAGAAGGTGCTGCGGCTGCTCCTTCGTCTGTGCCTGCTGACGGCGAGGGAGCTCCTGAGGTATCTGCATGCGCTTGGGTACCGATGCATCTTCCTCATGATCCTGGAGAGGGCCGCCTTTTCAGTATGCAGTCTGCCTTCAGCTGGTCATAAATAGCCACGGAGTGTTTCTGGGATATTTTACCTTGTTCTGGTATTACATGCTCTTCCTCGGCATTATGTTTTTTCCATGAACGACGGGGCTTCCTGGCATTCGAGTGTTCGCTCAGTGTTGTATGTGGCTGCCGCATGGGTCGGGACAGAGTTTTGTGGTATCGGGCTCGGCTAAATATGCATTGAACCTCGCCGTGTGCGTATAGTACCTCCCCCTGCTGCTGTACGCGGTGTGCCTCTCATCCGAAGTCTTCTCGCTTTCGGAGGCGGCACTTCAGGGGCGTTGGCGTTGATGTCAACAAAAAAAAGAAACGAAGGGAAATGTCACAGCCGCGGGGGGGGGGAATCACCCGCTGTGCACCTGGAAGGGTCCCCCCCCCAGCGCGCCAGGAACGACGAGAAAGAAGGCAGAGCGAAGGGAGGGGTTGTCTCTCTGACGCCCCCCCTTCGCTGGGGGAGGGGAGGGGCCCTTAGCCCTCCCCCAGCCTCTCGTTTGCGAGGGGGGGGGGGCTTCCCCCCCCCTGGCCCCCCCCCTTGCATTTGAGCGCCGGGGGGGGGGGGTCCCCCTCCTTCCGACCCCCCCTGCGATTTGTTATGTTGAGTATCGCTCTACCAATTGTTGTCGCTTGCGCGCCTTGCTGCTATGTTGATAACCATGTGGTTACATTCAGATCATGGGGTTGCCGTCCGTCAGTGCCTTATTTTACTTCGGTAAGCTTCACATCGATCTCCTCAAGCACCCGTAGGGTAGAATTATCGCTCTACCTTTTTTCGGGTCCGAGGAACCGTAGCTCCACAGCTGTTTGTGATTCATATAGTTGGTCCTACTTACAAGCCAGGAAGACCAGAGTCAGAATGTAGGTATATAGCAGCAGACATGTGTACAGCAGCAGGTAGATCATGAAGCAAGCACCGCAGACGTCCTGGGCCGAACGCACCAAAAAGCAGACTGCCCCCGCCCCCGCCCCTCCCCCGCTCCCGTTCCCGCCCTTTCCCCTCCCCCGCTCTTCCGCCTCCCCCGCCTCCCCCGCCTCCCCCGCCCCGCCCTTCCGCTGAACGGCAGGCCGACGAGCATGACGCTGTGCCGCACCTCCGCTCCCGCCCCCCCCCACCCTGCCCCGTCGCGCGCGCGCGAGGCAGCCCTCCCGGTTCGCCCGTGCCGCGAGGAGCACTGCGCGGGGGAGAGAGGGGGGAGAGAGAGAGAGAGAGAGAGAGAGATGGATAGAGAGAAGGGGAGAGGGCGAGAGAGGGGAAGGGAGGGAGAGAAACGGAGAAGGAGAGAGAGAGAGAGGGATACAGAACAACTGAGAGAGAGAGAGAGAGACAGACACACAAACAGACAGGCAGACAGAGCGTGATGGATAGAGGGAGAACGACAAAGAACGAGAGAGAGAGAGAGAGAGAGAAACCGATGCGGACGCGCGGGCCCCGGCCAGCACGGGGCAGGCGCCTGCCCAGCCTCTCACCTCCAGGGCTGGACGGGGGAGCGCAGGAGGCTCGGGCGGCGCGGAGACCTGCTCTAGGAAGGCACCAACTATACACCAACACCGATCCTGGCCAGGATTACCCTGGGCCCAGGATCGGTGTATACGCCCTCCTGCCTTGGGCAAGAAGGCATATACACCGATCCTGGGCCCAGGGTGATTCTGGGCCAGGATCGGTGTTGGTGTATAGTTGGTGCCCTCCGATGCTCCTTCCCGGCGCATCTGCGGACGCGACCGAGCAGGCGTAGCCCCGCCAGTGGCCCGGGTAGGAGCGCGGTTCTGTGGTCGGGAAGGGCGAAGGCTGAAGTCGGGCCTGTCCCTCTACAGGGGCGTTTTCGACGAAACATCAAACGTACTAGAAAAATGCTCCCACATGGCAGAAAAATGCTAAAAAATAGTCCTCTGACCATTGTTTGGCTATTTTTGCATATTCCCCCTGTAGAGGGACAGGCCCGACTGCCCCGATACGCAACACGCAACACGTAGCGTATCGATACGGAGCTCAGCACGTAGGCTGAAAACGTAGGTCCGACGCGATACATTCGCCAAAACGTGGCCCAATACGTGGAGCCAACACGCAACGTATTGACACGGACGTCTTGAACACGGGACGTATTGCGTATCAAAACGGGCGTATCGAGGCAATTAAGAACACGCCCGTTTTGAAACGCAATACGTCCCGTCTTCAAGACGTCCGTGTCAATACGTTGCGTGTTGGCTCCACGTATTGGGCCACGTCTTGGCGAACGTATCGCGTCGGACATACGTTTTTAGTCTACGTGTTGAGCTCCGTATCGATACAGGGCAGTTTTTAATACATCGGATGTTTAAATTTATATGCTTTTTTTTAAAATCATGGTTAAGTTATGAATGAAGTAATTCGTAAACTCATCCTTGTATCTACTAATCAACCCTTTATTTTTAATACATGGTCCGCACGCGGAGCATGTATTAAAAACGGCACTGTACGCTACGTGTTGAGTGCCCAGACTTTGGGCTCGCCGCCCTCCCTGCGGCCAGGAGGAGCAGCCGGGCGGCGCCACCCGCTGGAGCTCGAGACTGGCCACCCACGGCCAGCCTGCCCGGCAGGAGCGAGGAGGAGGAGGAGGAGGAGGAGGAGGAAGAGGAGGGAGAGGAGGAGGAGGCGGAGGAGAAGGAGAAGGAGGAGGAGGAGGAAGAGGAGGAGGTGGAGGAGGAGGTGGAGGAGGAGGAAAGGAGGAGAAGAAGGAGGAGGCGGAGGAGGGGGGGAGGCGGCGGAGGAGGAGAAGAAGGAGGAGGCGGAGGAGGAGGAGACGGAGGAGGCGGAGGAGGAGGAGGAGGAGGAGGCGGAGGAGGAAGAGGAGGAGGCGGAGGAGGAGGAGGCGGCGCGAAAGGCAGCGCTTCAGGCTGCCGAGACGGTGGGTTGCGGGCCCGCAAGGTGGCCGCTGGGGCAGCCTGCGCTGCGGGGAAGCCGGGCAGCTGCCGGGGCGCGCGGCTGGAGGCCGCTGCCGCGTGCACAGAGGCGGCCTGAGCGCCGAGGAGGCGCTCGAGGAGGAGGGGCAGCACGGTCGCTGGGAGGATAGCAGCGAGCGCCCTGGCCCGCTGCTGGAAGGCGTGCGCTACACCGCGGCGCTGGCTGCAGCCTGAGCCACTCCGTCGGCGGTGGGCGCGCGGCGGCGGCGCCGCGACGGACGGGGGCGCCTGTCGCGCGGCCCGGGAGCCGCGGGGGCCCCGCTGGCGGTGCCGAGGCGGTGGCCCTGTTGGGGCTTGCGGATCACGCACACCCTCCAACGCACCCACGCACACACACGCACAGCCACACAGACACACGTACACGCACACGCACACGCACACGCACACGCACACGCACACGCACACGCACACGCACACGCACACGCACACGCACACGCACACGCGCGCGCGCGCGTGCGCGTGCGCACGCACGCACGCACGCACACACACACACACACACACACGCACACGCACACGCACACGCACACGCACACGCACACGCACACGCACACGCACACACGCGCGCACACACACACACACACCCACCACACACACACACGCACGCACACGCACACGCACACATTGCTTCCGCCGCTCCTCGCTGGCCTCCGCCGGAGGACCCGCCGCCGCCTCTCTGCGGGCCGCCTTCCACCGAGGGCGAGCTGCACCGGGAGCGGGGCTCCCCCCTTGAGCGCGCCATGTGGCACTCGTAGAACTGGACGATCTTCTCCACGAAGTACGGGTGGGCCTGTGTGCGACGGCTTCCGAGCTGAGACGAAGCCAGGACGAAGATACCATCGGGTGAGGATAACTCGGGGATCTCTGAGATCCCGCGGCTCCGGAGGATGCCTCGGGCGCCGCGGCCTTCTCAGAGCGTTCCGGGACTCTCTGTCTGAGAGCGTTCTGGAACGCTCTGGGACGGATTTATCCTCGTCCTAGCCCCGTCCCACGAGCCATACCCCTGCGGATCCAATCGACGCCGGGTGTCCCACACACCCGCAGGGTTCGCGTGGCCGCAGGTATCCTGTAAGTTCTGACCCCGCCTGCAATTTTAGATCAGACCTGCTGCAGGGTTAGGGTTCCCCTGTGTGGTTGCAAAGGGATGGGGGACGATGGGGGAAGTGCGGCAGGCGCCGAGACAGGTGCGCCCTGCGGGAAGGCCGCAGACGAAGGGCCGACGACGATTCGAGTGAACGGGCATATCATAGCAAATAAAATGCCGAAGGCGGTCCGATCGAGCAAAGGACGCACGAAACACTAAGCAATGAAACCCTGCGTGCGGGAACAGTACATTGGAGAGGCCGATGCAAACCGAAGAGACACATATTCAGATCGATTGATGGCATGGAAAGACCGCGTCAACTCTACCGATGAACACGCAAGGTATGCCAGTAGGCGCTCGCACAACACCTGCAACAAGCAAACGATGTGCCGATGCAGGCATGTTGCTTAACAATGTCCCATGCCGCCGCTCGGACCCGACTGTCTTCAGCTGGGGAGAGCGCTCTACCTGTGTGTTTACTGGGGTCTCTGCCTTCAAGGGAGAGCGGGAGGTCCATGAGTGATGATCGTGCTGTGAAAACCTGATGTCGCGGAGGACAATAGTGGTCATGGTGATCTACAGAATGATGTGGTGTTGGCGAACATGGTCTGAATATGAGTGTGGTGATGTTGAAAGTGACGTGATGAAGAGGGGGAGGAAGGTCAGGATATGATTGAGGAAATGTTCACAGAGGGGCCTGTGGAAAATAATGGATTAACTTTCGAGGCGGGCAAGAAGATCCACACTTTGGATGGGGAGGATGAGGGTGGTATGGGGGTGAGGAGGACGAGGAGGGGGAGTGTGGACTCTGGAAGGAGGGGAAGGGTGTGAGCATGCTCCAGAAAACGATCACCCCACCTCGAATGGGGGGCAACAAGTACGCCCGCGCTCCCGAGACCACGGTCTCTCTAACATGACTTGTGTGAGGGTGAGGAGGACCAATGGACCGACCCCACCCCCGAGTGTCCGTCGGTAGACGATGAGGGACGATGGTTTTACCCAACGTACCTCCAAGTGTCGAGTACCTGTCATCCGAGCCAAGAGGGGCGATGGATATGAGCAAGATAGGAGGAAAGTAGGGGGATTCACACACACCCCCCGTCCCGATCCCGCCCGATGCCAACGCACAAAAGCGAAAGGCACCGAAGCGGGGATCGGGATAGGAGAGTGAATCTCTACTGAACTCCTGTCTGCAATCCACTGCTTCGGCCCAGGAAGGAAAGGAAGGGACAGCCAAAGCTCTGTCGTAAGGTTCGTACCCAACGGCGGCGCTAACCTGCAAAAAGTTTTACAGCGCCAGCCGCCGAGATAGAACCCAGGACAGTGCTGTGGGCTGGAGAGAAGTGGAATGGAGAGACTGAACTCTTATGACACCGACCCAAACGGTCGGTGCCCGAAGCAACACATGATAATCATGAATATGAAGTCTTCAATCCAATACCAAATCAAAGTAATCAAATCAGTCACGGTACGAGGGTGGTGAAAATCTTTTTATGCAAGTTCCATATCCAATCTGTACCAGATGCAATATGTACGTCTTGCCACAGTTCAAATCTAAAGGATATTTATGCAATTGTGCATTATGCGATTTTTTTTTTTGAATCTATATGAGTAGTATTATCCCATCATGAGGATAGCTGTCACCATAAACTTTCTCACAGTTGTTGAGTCCATGAAGAGGAAGAATCCTTGAAGTGATATACTGATCAAAAGGTAAGTGCGAGCGTCCTCGAATACTACATGTCATCGAAGAAAATGATATAATGCATCAATAGGCACATCAACAATACGACAAAGTTGGAAGCCAGTCAAAATCTTATGGGCGGCATGGCAACCAGTTTCCTGGTGCGTCAGCGTGGAGGGTCCCAGCGCCATGATCTGCCCGTATATTTCCCCGATGTGTACTTCTTATTCCATGCAGTCGCGCCCCATCCATTATTGGCGAACGGATCCCACGCTTTGGTCCAGATGAACTCGCCCCAATGGTCGTACCACTGGCGGTCATACGGTGCAATTTGCCTGTCATAATAGTGGGCACCGTATTCAGCACTGTACCCGTGGGTCACATTCGAAATGGCGGGGCGCTTTGCCAGAGGTGGTCCATCATCGGGACGCGCAGGCGCATATCTGGCAGCGGAGGCGGTATGGCCATGGCTGTCGAACGCGCCGGAAGAAGTACGATACTCGGATGTGTGTGGTGGTGGCTGGGGGGTTGGATCGGTCCCGCTCCCCCTAAAGTCACCCCCACTACTGCTTCCTGGAGCGTTGCCGCTGCGGTCTCCCGCTGCACTGGCGGTCTCCTGAAGCTGAGAGTAGTATTCTTCGCGCTCTCGCTTAACACCGGATCGGATCTCGTCCCGGGACCCAGTCAAAGACTGTGGGTGTGCACGAATTTCTGCGGCGGTGATGGCACCGCGGAGAGATTCGCCCGGGACGTGAACGGTAAGGTGGTTGCGCTGAAAACGCTCACGGAGTGTTTCGGCTCCAAGGTTCGGCGCTCCGACCTCTTTCCTCTTTTTGGAGGCCTGCCAGAGGCGATCGGCCTCAGTGGCAACCTCTAACGTCCATGCAACCCTACCAGCCTGAGTCCGAACTGTTGTCATCTGCGCACGAAACTCATCATCCTCCGCAAAGCGCTGTGCTAGAGACATGTATGGATGATACATGGGAGGAAAATTTGGATTCTCAGGCGGGATGCCGTCCGCGTCGGCGTCTGCACGTAGCTTGTCGCACTCCTCCCGAGATGGAGAACTCCAAGCTAGCCACTTCTGATGCCGTTTGTCAGCTTTCTTCCCCATGTTTTGAAGCTCGTCTTTAGCGTCTGTCTGTGGCTTCTTCGAGCCACGCGTATCAATGGGGGCAGCTGTGATGCGCTTGGCGACGTCATCCGGCTGAGTGGCGGCAAACGCAACGAACTGTTCTCGCCAGGCCGCAACTTCGTCCGGCCATTTGGAGTTCTCGTACCTCATGCAAAAGGCACATTTCAGAGTGGCCCCAGGCGTGTCCAAATCAGCTGGCATCCGAGCGTTGCAAATTGCGCAAGACGGGATGCGAGTCTGTAGCTCTGGAGGTGCCAGTCCTGTGCTCTCGTCGAACTGAACGACCCCTGCGAGCAGGGTCGCGAAATTCTCCTGAGATACGCTCCCACCTGGCGCAGAGACGATTTGGCGGGCCCGATCGAGGTGATCAGGTTCAAGTGGGGCAAAGATCTTCTCGTCGTCTTCGTCCAAGATCTTGTCAAGGTCGCTGCGGTTTCCCGCTGCACCCTGAGACTCGGCGGAGGCGGAAGCAGCGACAGCCTGGTACGCATCTTGGAGAACTTGAGTGGCGAGTGTGCGTTGTGATAACTGTGAACCAACGACAGAATCAATAACGGTTTTGGTAGCCTCCACATTGTCTTGCGATGCTAGGGTTTCCCCTTGCTTCGTAGCCAATGTGGAAATCTTTCCGTCGTGGGGCGCCTCATTCACGAACTCATCCTCCACATAGGTCTCTGTGCCCATGCGGAGTGCAGCAAGGCCAGGATGATTCTGCACAACCTCGGCGTTCTCAATGTCGATGAGTGCAAATTTGTCGCCAGCCTGCTGGTAGAGGTTCAAGTATGCCATGGCGCACCATGAACGTCTGCCGTATGCCAGGGTTCTGTATCGGAAAGTACCAATGCACTGGAAAAGGTACTTTGTGAAAGCTCTGTGTCCACATTGGTCTGGGAAACGGTGACACCATGGTGCATCGCAGTTGAACTCGAAGGTCATTGTTGTATTTGCGATATCGTCCATGTTCAAGACAACGGTGTACTCCATGGTCTGCTTCACTTTGGTGTTAACGACACCGTGATGCCCAGATCTACGAACAATGTGGACTTTCTTGACTGCTTTGAAATAGTCTGGTAGGTCGGACTGATCTGGTCCATATGTGAGAGTTATCTCCGCGTTATCCTCCATTGTATCGATCTCATTGCGGATATCATTCAGCTCTGGGGACCAGTCATCCTTCTTGAGGAAGTCATCATCAGCATGTTCTGGAACATGTGGCACAGTGTCACCATTGCTGCGATTTCCCGCTGCGCCGTCATCATAACTTTCCTCTGGAAAATCCGTTGGTACAGGGATTTCGGTCGGCGAGCTCTGGTCCTGTGTGGGGACCGGCATCTCTGTAGGTGAACTGTGATCGTCTGCCGCCAGAGGGTGATCCTCCGCTGCCGGCGGAGGATAGTCGGGCGAGTGTGGAGTGATAGTCGGCGACGGAGGGTCAACTGCCATTGGTTTCGGTTCTGGTACGACTGTCGGCGATGACTGGGCCGGAGGTACCTCGTCAGTGGGCACGTCCAAAGACTGAGGGCTCCTGATCAATTTAAGCAATTCACCTGGCTCAGCTCCACGAGCATCTATGTCGGCGACCTCCTCAACCTCTGGGGGCTGTTGACTGGGGGCGCTGCGGTGTCCCGCTGCACTAGAGGCGTCTGTATGCCTCTGGCGCAGTGGAGCACGAAGATCTCCCACAGCCCTGACGTCACTGGTCGGCGTCATGATCGCATGACGGGGTGGAAAGTTAACTGGGGGACCGAAGCGAAGGTCATCTGGGAGTGAGTTGGCGTCAAAGTCTGGGCAAGGTACAACGCGGGCAAGCGTGTTGCCCGCCAGCATGCCCTTCGTGCCATCCCAAACGTTCATCCAGTGATCTCCGATTTTCACGGTCACGTATCC